CACAAATCCTCGTTTAAAAATCACAGAAAATACTCAAATTGACAACCGTGATTCTGATTACAGCGCACGCGACGGGTACAAACAGCCCCGTCTTTGGGTTATTGGGTTTCAACTCGGCACCCCCCCCCCCCCTATCCCTCCACACCCCCTATCCTCAACACCACCGCTGTAGAGATTCCAGGCTTCATTACAAGTGTTACAGCTTGCTCTTCATCGCCTCGTTGATTGGTTTGCCGAGCGAGGCTTCGTGGTTGCCATATTTTAGAAAAATTCCAGAAAAAAAGCCATAACTATTCCTTGATTTTCGAGACCGAAGTGCAGAAAAATTCATATTTAATAGGATCAAACGGTAGAAAATCCCAAAACTATCAGTCGTTCTCGGCTCAATCCTAAGCAGAATGAAAACTCAGACAATGCCGTGTTTTTACTACACAAAAAATAAAGGTTTCCTGATCACTGGTTTGTTGGGGACAATATGTTTTAGGGAATAATTCAGCTGAAAAAGTAAAGCCCGAATTGAGGACACCCAGAGCTGTAACTTGAAGACGATCAAGAATTGATTGATATTTTCCAATTTTCTGCGGAATCCACAACCTTCCAAACATGGAAAAGAAAATTTGATGGTTGGGTGAAACGATTCCACAGTCAACAAAATTTGTGCGAATTTTATGCCGTTTTCCAAGATTTTATACGCACCAAAAAAAAGGTCTCTCATTCTAATTTTGTAGGTTGCTAGGTACCCTGCATTTTTAACCCCAGTCAGGGACACTTGTTTGAATTTCCGAATCAAAAGACGAAAGCAAAGGAGAAAGGGGAAAAGCGTTATAAAAATGAGAAGAGAAAAAATTACTCTTCCTTTTTTTCTACCTCCTCCCATTTTTTTTCTTCCTCTTTTTATTTTATTTCTTTCTCTTTTCTTATCAAGCGATTCCTTTTCTCTACTTCTGCCAATTCTTCTTTTTACCTTTCATTCCTATTTTCTCTCTTCCTTTCTGCTTCCTATTTTTCCTCTCTTTCTCTTATTTCTTCGTATTCTTGTTCTCCGTCTAACTCTCTTCCCACGTAAGACGTTAGAAATCTCAAAACTACTGTCAATTAGAGTCCCTTTATACTGAGAGTCAAGACAACACCCCATCATGGAGTCACAAACGGGAATAAAGATTACAGAAATTGAACGTTTTTTGTAATCTTTGATCGACCCATTCTCAAATTCCTTTCTCCGTTCCTTCTCTCATTCCGTTTGTTCCTTGTCGAACCCGTAATTCCCTGGTCCATTCCAGAATATAATCTTTGCAATCGGTGAAAACGTAATCTTTATTACCGTTTATGACACAGTGAAGGCCTAAAATACGGGAACCAATCAGAAATGGATTCACATTGTCTTGACTTTCAGCACAAAGGGACTCTACTGTCTATCAGGTACGGGTTGAATCGACTAAATATTCCGCGGAGATCTGGCAGCGTCGCCGTAGACCACCCGTGGCTCTTGAGAGGGCCGCAATCTGCGTGAGGTTCCAGCGATGCTTTTTTCGGGCCACTCGGGGAATCGGGGAATCGGGGAATCGGAGGTTATGAACCCGAGAGCGGGAGCGGGTTCATCCAATGAGCTTTTCAGGGCTTTTCAGGGCTCCGACGGCTTGTTATGAGAGCCCAATTAAACTCGGAGCGTGCCCCCGATCCCGCCGTTCTTAAAGACGAAAAATGAAACCGCCAAAGCCGGAACACCGACCGCCCCGCCGAAAAACGGAAAACAGCCCCGGTCTTCGAGTCGAAATTGAATGTAATCGTCCAGAAACGCCCGAGAAACGAGGAAACGCCGAGGTTTATACTTTCTTTTATTATTTTTACTCGACTAAATACGGAAAAACATTAATCAATGCAGTGTAACGCGGAAAAAATTGAAATCTTTCTTTGAAGCTGAAGTCATTTTAAAAGAATGATTGAACTTCGAAACGCCGATCTTATCATCCATGAATGGAAAATGAAGTCGGGGTGGGGGGAGGGAGATTTCTCGATGAAGAACGGAGATGCAACGCGGAAAAGACATCGACACAATTAAGATACCAAACTTCAGCTTGTATTGACCACCGAACTTTTTCGGTTCAGAAAACCGGAAATTGTGGTAGTAGAAACCGTGATTCGTCCCCTGTGACCGATAATTTCGGTTGCTTGAACCAAGAAGTTCTGTAATCATTATGAGCCATAGTTGGGTGCCTTTAACCGAATGTTCTTCTCACAGTAAGAACCGAGTATAATAGAAACTCATCAAACTGGTCTTTGAGCGTTCACCACATTAGTAGTGTACGCTCTTTCCCGTCGTTTTGCATCGGGTATGTCACTGCACTCACTGCACAAAAGTATCTCTACAAGTCTTCACGCGTATATTAGGACTTGAACAAGATTTTTCGGTTTTCGGCTACTCATAATGCGAAAATAAAGTTGAGCTTTTTACCGACTTTACAAATATTTACTTAGAATCTTTTTTTTCGGGAGAATGTTTTAATTTTGGACACTTCTCTTCCTCGGCAAATCGCCAAGATGTCCACATGAAAGCCGAGTAATTTGCGTTCTTTCTTAAAGGATGGCCTGATTCGCATTCATTGCATATATTTGTGATGTCGGCTAAGAGCTCAACTTTTGTTTAAGACTTGAACTTACACATTTTTCATATTTTGACCATTATTTTGGACTTACACGGTATATACTCCGAAATGATTCTTATATAACTGATATTCTTTCTTCTAAAATAGCTTGAGTTACATGCTTTTTTGAAACGACGTAAATCATCCTCTCTTTCCGTATTCGTATTTGTTTTTATTAAAAATGATGCAATTTTATTTTAAAAAAATAAAATAGGAATGAAGAATCGCAACGTCGAGATGGAGGTTGCGCATTTCGCTCTCCTTTCAAAATGCCTCGGGACACGTGTTTCCTGCTGATCCTTCGTCAAAACACGATGTTTTGTCGCGTGCAGTCAATTATCACTGCTATCTTCCGAGAATCTTGATGCAGCCTCTTGTGTTTATGTCCCTCGAGACAAGGGTTCTCGATGGCGAATATTCGGCTTGAAACGGTGCCCTCGGCTCGGGGGGATCATGACCTCTCGCAGGGGGATGCGAGGGGGGGGGTGGGGATCCACTCTGGGCGTCCCCCGAAACGGGATCGCGGAAAACAGTATAAATCAAGTGGTTGTCAAACAAAAGACGTAATTGAATAACGTAGCCTAATGGATGGGTATGAGCGCCGCGTGTGGCCTTATAATCACACTCGTCTCGCGTCGTTGCCAACTCAACTCTCGTGAATAATCCTGTCCGGAGGCCCGGTCATCTTTGGAAATTCGGTCATCTTTGGAAATTCATGAGAAGAACACTGCCGTACCAAGGAAGAACGCCGTATGAACCTTCAGGCGTTGCCATATTTCCTTTGATAAAACACGAATTTCCTAGTCAACTTGTGAATATTTTTCTTCCAATTTTTCAGAAAATTTTACTCGCAATTTCACCGAAAAGTCCTTAGTCCGGAAAGTTCGAGGGAAAATATTCATAACTTTCCTAAAGAATGACCATTTTACTGATGGAAATTTGGCAACTCTCGAATGCTCATACGGCGTTCTTCCTTGGCACGGCAGAACATATTTCTGCAGGAGAACTAGAAATCTAGATTTAGCCAAAAGGGTGGTTTACTGAATAATTTTAGAGACAAACTAGGAGATAGATGTTATATAAAAACGAGAGCTTCGCAGTGCAGCTCATATTATACGACTCTATGCAAATCATACAAACTCACATGCGAATAATTTAAAGAGACACGAGTAAACACAGGTTAAATATTTAGATAGAAAATTCCAGGAGCACCTTCATATTATTACTTTGCGACCGAAGCGAGAAATTCCACGGTCTGATCTAGTTAGCAAACGTTACTCATTGTTTTTAATACGAATGGCTCAAACATCATAATCAGCGTTTTGAGAGTTTGAAGTATACGACTACGGTCTTTAAAAAAAAAAAAGCAATCCTCAGCGATTACGTAAAGTCCATGAGGACTTTCATGCGGTTCCCCAAAACACGGCCACTTGTGACCAGGCAATCTTTCATCGGCTAACAAACTGACCTCTTATTTTGCAAACTTGGGTTCCTTTTTGCTTAAAGCCATTCAACTCTGAAATGGACGTATTTCTACCAAACAGACCTATGTGGCGATGAGAAATGTGGGGTGTGCTCTAGAAATCTGCATAAGAAGCAATGTGGTCAGTGGGCGTGGTTCCTTTTGAAGAATTGGAAAAGCGGGATATTGCATTCTATCAAAGAGACCTATGTGCAACTGAATGCGGAACTCATGAGCCGCGGGCATGGCAAGAGAGCCTTGTGCACAGGGCTCATGAGTTAATGAGCACGACTACCGCAACCACGAGGAACGTGACGCGGCGTCCTCCTCCGCTGACGTCACTGGCGCACAATTATTCTCATTCACTCGCCACGCAAAGAGACTAACGAGCACACCCCATATTTCTCACTTCCACATAGGTCTCTTTGGTAGAACTACGTCCAAATAAAACTCAATCCTCTGAAAAAGTGAGTTTCTGTACCGAGCGGCAACCATGTTAATGTATTCATCCCCTACCTGCGCTCTGAGACTTTGGAGGTGAACTCCCTTGCAGAGCATGGTGTCCTTCCTTTACATTCAGAGCTTTTTGGAGCTTGTAAGTTTATTTCATAAAGAACCAGTCGTGCCATTGCGTTGCTTGCAAAATGCTGCATTGGATGACTGATTGAAATCTAGAGTCTCCAATACAATTTTTCTGATTTTAGACTTTGCAAAATTACACACCCCCACCCTTGTTTGGTAACCTACAGTTTCGAGGAAGTGAGGTCTTGATGGATTAAATAATGACCTTCAAAATATTTTTAATTTTACTTAGAGAATCAAGGATTGATATCTTTGAAATTCTTGATTTCCCTGCAAAAAACAATCAAAAAGAGCGAAATAATGAAGCGACTTACCTCCGCAGGTGAACAACTAAGTGGTGAAGGTAACCTCAGCGCTAATACAAACGGTGAATTGACCCTATTTAAAATTCCTTTAAAACTAACCGCTGAAACCCTGGGTCTTCTAAATTCGAAATAATTTGTTACTAATCTTCCTGTGAACATAAAAAATGAAATGTATCGTTAGAAACTGTCAAAGTTGTACTTTTTTCATTCCCTTATGGCATAAGTTAAAAAAAACATTGGAGTATGCAACTGCAACCCGCATTCAAACGCACAAAAATAGAAGAAAGTCACAATTTTTACATTTTCCGAAACATTAAAAGGAATCGGTATTCTTCAATATCTTCCATAAATTTCTGAAATTTCAATATTTTATTTCTCATGAAATTTTGCCAGCCTGGCCTGTGCCAACACAACGGCCTGGCCAACTACAACAATGTACGCAATGATCTCTATTCTATTGGTAAATGATTAATATTATTTATTTTATGATCAAAAGTAAATCCATTAACTCTCAGGTGTCTCTGGGAAAAATATTCAACTTTCGAATGTGGAATAGACCTAAAGACATCTTTTCAACTTCCATTTTCTTTGGTCCGCAGAGCGTTTTCATCACCCGCAAGCGCACTGAGTCTGAACTCAGTGCGCGGAAACTTAGATCATTTTCATATAATCGGACATTTTTCTTCTTTGTCTAGCTCTAAGCATCATGAATGGTTCGATGATGAAGTTACCTGCGTCTTTGAGCCGCGAGCCAAAGAGTCGCATGAAGCCAGCGCCGAGCTGGACGATGTCTAGTTTCCTATCGATGACGAAGTGCCACGGGAAGGCCTTGCAGAAGCTCACTACTCCGATCTTGAGGTCGGCCGCCGAGGACGAGAGCGAAACCCCGTTCAGCGCCCGCGTCACCGTCTCCACTTTCTCCCCGTCGTGCTCCCTCGTCTCCGCCGACGACGAGCCCACGATAATTTGATACCTGAAACAAACATACCAGTTGTGTAATGAAAGCAAACCGTCGGGAAAGTCTTGATACAGCGTGGAATACAAGATTTGACCAACCAGGACACGTATTTCTAAATCCTTGCATCAATTTTCGGGTTTTTCGAGGATGCAACTATTCGGCCTCCGCAGCCGTGTTGGGAGGCATCACGCCGACTTGAAGGGGTTTCTTGCGCATCGCGCTCCGTTCTTGTTTCATTTACACCATGGACCATAAGACAAGTTGAGGATTGGATTATCAAGTAGGAATGAGTTAAAGCCTTATGCATATTTTACGTTCAAAATTATGCGAGGAAAACGATTCATTCAGCGGGAAGTCGGGCAATCTGCCGTGCTTAGGAAAAACGCCGTATGAACCTTCAGGCGTTGCCAAATTTCCTCTGACAAAGCACGACTTTCTCGGTAAACTTAAATATATTTTTCTTCCGATTTTTTCGATAATTTTGTTCGAAATTTCACCCAAAGTTATTGAAAATTTCAGAGGAATATATTCATAACCTCCCGCAAAAATAAACATTTTATCGAAAGAAATTTGGCAAATCTCGAATGTTCGTTCGGCGTTCTTCCTTAGCACGGCAGAAATGAACTTCTCAACAACATACACCTTGTTTACGAGTAACATTGGTCAAATTCCGAAAATACAAATGACATCGTTTGTACACGTTTACTTTCACTTGATGTATGTTCAGAACAATTGTTGACTCCTCGCTTATGAAATGATATCCAAACTTTCCGTTGTCAAATCGTTTTCTACGCGAGGTTCATTAGTAGAGAAAACGTGCGACCTTTGCTCCACCTCAGGCACAGTCTGGCGACTAGTTAAGTTGTGAATGAACTGCATCGTGCAATGTTGCATCTCCGCCCCAAATTACAACGTCGCGTGAGTGCATATTTTTCTAACCCCGTAATCGTTGTGATTACGCGGTGCCGAAACGAGTCGAAATCGATCCGCGATCGGTAAACAAGCGACCCTGTTCACACAATCGTGGGGTGGGACACTCGTCGTCGCTCCTCTGGCGTAAGAACGTATCTGGATCTCAGCATGAGCTCCAGAAAGCATGGGTTTATATGTAAAATAGGGCTCATGTGACATCGAGATACGCCCTTACGTCGGAGGGGCGACGTCGTGTCTTGATTAGCCGAACGGTTTCGGGAACGCATCCCTTCGGAGGGTTTGAACGATGGCATGGACTCGAAGTGGCATCATCCCCGCTCCCCGATACGCGATAACTAGCTGGATGGAGGAAGCTTACAGTTCACGGATCACGGATAAGCGGCGAGGGAGGCTGACAATCGGGAGGGCGAGGGGGGGGGGAACCTTGGAAAAACGTGTTTTATACCTGCGGGATCGCCGGCAGGGCTCCGGGGCACCGAGCAACCCGGCAAGAACACCGCGCCGTTAACACAAATTGCATTGAGTCGATAAAAAGTTTCGCCGAGCGCCCGCCGCTACCACCGTGTTGCCGGTGTCATCGCCTCAAAATATTCCTTCAATGGAGATGTTGCATGTGTGAGGAATTTGCGATTTGACTGTTGATTCTTTTATAAAAGTTCGCGAGAAACACGATGGAGCCACTGGTTTTCTCTGAAATCAACTCCCAAGCTCAAATAAAGCTCTCAAGTTGAGGCCAAAATGGAGGGGATATCCCACGCTATCCTGAGAGTCCACCTCTACATCAAGATAAACTCTCCATGCGAAGATAGGGAGCAAATACATTGACAGGGCTGCCTCTTTATTTGGGGACTCTAAAACTGAAAACACGGCAACCCTGCTAATGTATTTGCTTCCTATCTTTGCATGGAGAGTTTGTCTTGATGTAGAGGTGGACTCTCAGGATAGCGAGGGATGTCCTCTCCATTACAGCCTCAACTTTGAGAGCGTTTTTTTGAGCTTGGGAGTTGATTTCAGAGAAAACCAGTGGCACCATCGTGTTTCTCGCGAACTTTTACATAAGAATCAACAGTCAAATCGCAAACTCCTCACACATGCAGCATTTTTTCGACATTTTAGCGAAATAATTTTGTAAGATTATCCTATTTTACTGATACGTCCGTCCAAGATGAAGATAGTCCGTAAGCAATGGGGTGAGAGCAGGGGAGGGGGGCTTAACAGTGCTGCAATGTTGCATCTAAAGAAGTATTTATGACTGATTAACAGGTGTATTTTTCATTTCAAATATTTCAGGGAATTTTCAACAAATGAGATTCATAAACAGTGTCAAAAGGAACTCGGCAACCGTTTCTGAATCACTGAATAAATTTTAAAATGAAACTTTGCAACTTTGCAATGCAACCCAGCTCTCTGTTTCTGATTCTTTAAATTACGTCACGCTGAAATTCTGAATTAGAGACCCCCTTCCTCTCGTCACGTGTCCGTCGCGCTTGACTGTACCCCTTAAAAATTACATCACGGTTTTCTGAATCTCGCCTTTTACCAAAAAAAGAAGAAAAAAAGAGAAAAAAAGAACGGCATTTTTACTTAATACGTGAAAAAATTTTTAAAAAAATCAGCGGACCAATTTTTGTATGACGTCACTCAGTGTCAAGACCCCTCCTTCCGTCTTCCATCGCGCGAACTCCCTTCCCTCCCTTTCCTTGAGTATGACCTTGTTTTCAAAAAAACCTCAGAATTCCAGTCAAAGATTCTTGCAAGTTGGCAACACTGGTTTTCCTCCATTTAAATGCATGTGAAACAATCGATTCTTGGTGAGGCAGCTTGCCTCATTTAAAAATTGCTACTGGTTCTATTTATGATCGACGGAGAACAGGGGAGAATTTCATGAGCCGCCCTGCGCCGTCCGCAGCGCGCATGACGCACGACCCGCCTTTCATTATTACACTTCATCTAGCGTTAAGAGTTCACTAATTACTTCACACGACCAGTGTGAAATTTTAAAAGTCGAAAATTAAAATATATATAAAAAAAGAAAGAAAAAAAATTACACGATATACGAGTTTCTTCGCCAGGGAGCTTTCCCCGTAAGAAATCGTTCACCACCCGCCCACCGGGAGAGCTGCGGCGGCGTGCTGCCAGAGCAAAGCGCGCACTGACGCCTACAAACCTAAGTGGATACTTCACGCATTGCGTAATGCTTGAAGTATCCCGTTAGGTTTGTAGGCGTCAGTGCGCGTTCCGAGCTGGCAAGCACGGCGCTTTATTAAACCATAGCTATTTCTCCGTGAGGAAATCGCTGATTAGCCAAATACAAAGAAAAACCTTCCACTGGTATCTTGACACTGGTGGAAACTTTTACTTTTGGGACTCGAACATTCAACAACCAACACGGGGGTGGTGACGTTTGCTGCCTTGTAAACGTCGAGAAGGAAATGTTGAAACCCTGAGCGTAAAGCCTCCACTTGTTGCCTACGTGTTAGTAGAGGGCTTCTCCTTGTTTCTGGATTAGGAAGATAGAAGCGGCTAATAGGAGCCCTAGGGGTCCAAGAAACGCTGTTACAGCGACTTACACGTGTATGTGATCAACTCGTCGTTGGTCACAGAGGCGGTTTTTTTTTTTTTTTTGGTGATTATCCAGCCCAATGAAGGCCTAACAAGAGAGTGACAAAAGAGAGAACCAATCACCCGACTCCAACCGACCTTATTCTTGTCTCGACCACCAAGCAAGCACAAAACTCGAACAATTTCGTCGTCTTCCGGCGGAAAGAACGCAACCCCGCCTCAAGGTAGCAAGATTGACTAAAGCAATTCAATTTTTATAAAATTGTGAGTGCGCAGTTTCTGTCCAATTTTTTTCCGATTGTAACGCGCGGATAGAAGAAATATCCATACAATTTTCTGCTAGAGAAACCCAATGGTTCCCAGGTAAAAGTACAATTTATTGGTAGAAATTTCGCTGCGTTTATATATGTGGTTATGTTCTTTGGTAGGGAGAGAGATGATTCGGGCACTGTCTTCCGTGTCTTATATCCGTCCCCTCGTACCTTACCCCGTTTTCCTCCGACGCGCCCATTTCGGAGTCACGCGAAGCAGTGGCGTGGCGTGTTTTGCGATCCATCGACACTTCCCCATTTGAAGCTGTGGTAAATAATCGATTATTTAGGTGTTCGCTGCGAACACCCTGTTTATCGATACTATTCCATAGGTGTAAATGGCATGACAATCGATGTATCGCAATTCACGCCACGCCACTGACGCGAACGACCCCACCCTCGACGCTCACTCGACGGCCGAAAAAAAGGACAGTCCCCGCTTGTCGCGCAAGGAGTTATGAAAGAACGAACGAGATAGCGCGAGGACATACTCAAAAGCGAAGAGCGGGGGGTGCGGGGGTGTAATGGGGGGATAAAAGTGTCTTGTCGGCGGAGATTCTCTGGGCAAAGAGACAAACGGCGCACAGTGGATCGAGTCAATTAGGGAGATCGCACATACAATTTTCAACTAAAGCTGCAAATTTTGAAGTTTATTTCGTCGGATGTTAAATTAAGGGGAGCCGGCCACTTGGAAATTGAAAAAAAAATTTTTTTTTTTTATTTTCTGGCTAATCTTAATCTCCTACTCCTCACGTTTAATTTCAGACCAAGTTTTACTTGATCTGATGAGTAGTTTTGAAGTTACGCGCGGTTTAGTGAGGGAAGGTTTACTAAATACACTACTAATTACACTAAAACTGATTTTGCTCTTTTTTTTAATTCCTCATTTCCCGAAAACTACATTTTTCAGCACTCATGTACCTTTTTCTCAGGATCTACAGAACCGATTTTCAAAAACTTTGTTTTGTTCTAATCCTTGCACTCCCCTGCACATTTTAACACGATCTTTTCCAAAATTTCGAGCTGGATTTTTTTTTTATTTGATTTCAAATGTCCAAATCCTTTGATTTCTAACAAAAAAATTTCAAAAATTCACCAAAATTTCAAATTTTTAAATTTTAAAAAAAGCCCGTGTTAAAATGTTCAGCAGGGTTCGAAGTTCAAAACAAAAAAAGAGAAGTAATTTTTGTTCGGTAGATCCTGAGAAAA